ATCTCAGATAAATAAATAATTTTACATTACAAATTACCTTAAACGATTTCTTCCCAGACCCGATCTGTGCTTTGGTTTCAGCCTCCGCAACTAGATGACGTCACACAGCGCTCCTGATTGGCCGTTTAGCATCACCAGCTTTTTTTAAACATCATCGAGTCAACTGTTGAGCAGTTTTTCACAAGATTTGCGAAATTCAGAGAACTGGAAGAGACAGCAAATTTCATGAGGTTTCCAGACAGTATGAAACTGAAGGAACTAAACTTACAAATGCTTTCATGGATTGACATGGCTGACTTTGAAATGCAGTTGATTGAATTTCAGAGTAGCTCAATTTGGAAGTAGAAATTCATTGACCTTAGAGTTGATTTGGAAAACATTGAAAAAAGATTTGCAAAAAAAACTTTTTCAGTTAGGGTTAGGTCACTTTCTAAAGAAAACGTCAGTCACATAAAATATCAGCCCGACAGAAAACTTTACGGCTCCTTTTGATATATTATCAGTGGGACTTCTGTTGCTGCATCACTGATGACAGAGATTTTACATCGGGGTTATATTTCGTGACCTTCAGAGATATACACGAACTACTAGTTTCACCCGTCAGGCTACTCCTATTACGAGACTTAATAAAGTTCATCACTGAGAACAAAGATTCACAAGCATATGTAGATGAAAACATGGAGAGCAATGCTGTTGCAAAGTTTTTTAAACAGGAAAAATTTTCTGGAATGGCATTCCAAGTCATCAATAGTTCGTTTTCTGCACTTCTCTCTGGTACTCCCATCTGTAATCTTTTCTGCCGGACGGATATATGATGTCTTCTTTTGAAAGTGGCAAAGATTTATTGTTGTTTGGACGTTGTTTTGAAAATGGATAAATGCATTTTTCATCATCATATACTGTGTTTTTATCGCTCGAGTGAATTTTTGTCGTTTCTTCAGGTTCTTCACATACACCTTAAGAATATGTTCTCAAAGAACTTTGGTTGGCACGCGGAAGAATTTTGTGTCCGAGATTTTGCCGGTTTTGGCACGCACGCACAAAAAGGTTGCCCACCCCTGTGCTAGTGCAATCCTTTGCTGATATACTATCTTGTTGTTTATGAATTTACTTGTCCTAGTTGTAGTGCTAGGTATATAGGATTTACTACTAGATTACTTTTCATTCTAGTGTAGAACCATGCAAATTTACAGTATGATAAATCAAGTATAAACGAACATGTCACTATGACTAATATAAAAGAAAGAAGCGATTTGTTCAGGATTTTGGCAAGGTGTAATGATGAACTCTGTGCATTAAAGATACTTTATTAATTAAGCAGCTAAAACCACAAGTTAATTAAGTAGAATCATACATAAAATTGTTATTGAAATTGTGGTAATATCCATCAAATTTTCTTATTTAAAGTCACGGTTCTTTACTTTGTATTTGATTTCCAATCTTTAAGACCCTGCTAATGTGCTGCCTCAATGGGAGGTGACTGACTTTGTTTCTTGTTCTTTAATTTTATTACCTTGACTTGTAATTTCATTTCTGCAATTTCGAATTGGTGTTTAACTGGTATTCCATTTTATTTTAGTCAGTGACTTTATTTAATTTGATATTTTTTTCCCCTGACCAGTTTTATTTTGTTTCATTCTGTATTTATGATGTGCAATTTTATTCCGTTTGTTGCAAGTTCAATCAGTTTGGTGATTTTTTTATTTTAGTGCTCTAGTTTAGCATCAGTAACTTTATTTTAGTTTTTTTCAATTAATTTCAACTGTGTATTCAGTCTTATTTATTGTGTGAATTTATTTTGTAACTAGATTCATTTTGTATTCAGTTTTCTTTATTTTGTGATATTATGATTTTGTTTAACTTGTATAGATTTTTTGGGTTTTTAGGTCATTTTAAACCACCATATATTAACCTAAATTAATTTAGGCATGGAAACAATATTATTATATTGCACCTAATTTATTATTCGGTATTATAATTGAAAATACAATATGATCTAGACGCCAAAAGCATTTTTTGTTTCGAAGAATCCTTTGCTGTGGACTGCAGTTTCGCCTATTCAAGACCCATCAGCATAGCTTGGATCAGAAATACAGTTAGATCTATTATAATAGTGATGATTATGTAATATTTACTTTTTTTTTAAGATCTTAACTCATCGTATAGGAACATAAGTTAATTTAGGTGTGTGAATTATATTACGGTATTGCTCTTAACCTATTCTGTACTATACCGTGGACCAACTGTCTAATTGTATTACAATTTCATTTCACCAAAGCCAAAGGTAAAATTGAAATTACCTGTGACGTAGAGGTCTAATATATTTTTGATTCGCCATACCCTCTGCAGTAGACTGTTCAACAATTTCAACTGTATAACCCAATATGGCTTCCAGTTCCATGGATATTTGCATAGAAATAAAAACAAATATATAAAAGCTTAGCTTGATGATATGTTGTTTGAAGAAAAGATACGGTCCTGTATTTTAAAGCTGGCTTTATCATTCTATAATTCACTTGAATTATGACGTTAATATATGATAGTAACAAATGTTTTTCGTTTAACAGAGTCAGGTAGGCTAATTTAAATCATTTTGTACTCTACCATATAAAGTTTCGACGTCAAGACCGCTTTCTTAAATTCCCACCAGCTATTGTTGAAAACTCTCCAACATTCCCCACAACAAAACTCAACTCACGAACAAAATTGATCTAACAAACCCAACAACAGTACATTACACTGCATTT